CAAATGAAGCAATACCTAGACCTTCAAAGAAAGAAACGTGAGATGGAGGAGGCAGCCAAGAGGAGGAAGATCGACATGGAGGAGGCGGCCCGGCAAAGGCAGCTCGACATCGAGACTGACAACGTCAAGGCCAGGCAGAGGCAGCTCGACATCGAGGCCACGAATGCCGCCACCAAAGCGAAGGAGGTCGCCCTTGCGATCATGAGCGTGGACTTGTCGAAGATGAGCGACAAGACGAGGGTCTGGTTCGAGGCCAAGCTGAAGGAGATGCTCGATGCCGAAGGCCTAAACTAGGTCGTCCGATCGGCCGTGGCCGTTCTTTTTGGAGGCTGGCATGGGTGCCGCCACCCGCTGGGCCGCTGGCTGTGTGCCGGCGAGAAAACATTCATCTTGGTGGCCGGCTGTGTTGCCGGCGAGGACAACTATTCATTTTGAAGGCTGCCTGATGCCGGCGATGGACGTGTAGGCCGTTGGCTCTGTTGCCGGCGTGATGAACCGGGGCCGCTGGCCTAATTAGGACTTGGCATTTGAAATGTTGCTTCTGGTTCTTTAAATAAACGCGGACATGATGGGACAAATGGATGCGGCCGCACGCTGGATGCATGGCCACCGCATCCCAGGACAAACTCGAACATGACACTAAATCCCTATCCAAACAGACAAAATCCGGATAAAACGGACGTCCATTTAAAATCGCACAGTGGCGTTAGCCGAACAAGCAAGCAAGGAAAAGGAAAAACTAGTAGCCGAACAAGCAAGCAAGGAAAAGGAAAAACTAGTGCGACAGGGAGGCCCAGGGTGATGCATGTTGCTACTCTGCTCTGCTCGCAAGGTAGTCGCGGTGACCACGTCGACCCCGTCGGTCACTTCAACCAACCTAAAAAAATGAAAAGGAAAAAGGAAAATCCAACATTGCCCATCGGTCAAAGTGAAATGCTTTGGCAGCTACTCCCTCCATTTCAAAATATAGCGCGTCCGCGCTTTTCGAGATCCAACTTTGACCATAAATTTAATCAACGAAACCAAGTGCGGCGGGAGAAAAAAATTATATAATTAAAAACTTCTTTCGAATATGAATTCACTGGTATAATTTTTGCTCCCGCCGATCAAAGTTGAAGCACGTTGATAGAGGAAACAATACATTGTGAAATGGAGGAAGTACTAGCTGACTGGTGCGTGTAAACCACTCCACTAGTACTACTTGCTCAATAGATCTCACTACTAAGTACGTAGTTTTGTCAACGTTTCGCAAAAAACAAAAAGTACTTTTGTCAACGCTACGAGGGTGCTTGGATCCAAGGAATTTATTTTAGTCTGACTAAAAATAGTCTCTTTAAGAGGCTAAAGTTCCAAGCACCCCTGACTAAAGAGGGGCTAAAACTAGTTTTGAGACTAAAATGTTTTAGTCAGTGATACCCCTACTAAAATGTGGATGAGTCCTCTCTCTCCTCATTTAACTCCTCTCCTTTAACACAGGCGAGTTCTGGATTGGAGAATTTGGAGGATAATAAATGCTCATTAACTTGATTTTATTCTCTTTTATTTGGATCCAAGCATCAGTGAGACTAGCAAATTTTAGTCCCACTACTTTTAGTTATAAGACTAAAACGTATCCAAGTACCCTCTATGTTAGGCTGGCCGGTCACGGTTGACGTGTTTGCATGCACCAACCAGTGACCCCAACCGTGATATACACTACCAATGCCCAATGGTGTGTTTGAATTTGGCGGTACCTACAACTACGAGTTGACCTGGTGGGACACATGCATGGTTTACAAGTAGCATGTTCTTTAATTACGGAATCAGAAAGAATTCAGCTTTAGCAGAGTTGCTCTCTGCATGCGCCGACGCCGACGCTGGCGGCCGGCACCGAGAGAGATGAATGAGAATGCACTCTCATCGGTGGTGCTGAAGCCGGCCGGCCGGCCGTCCGCCAACGCCGAACCACAAACTTGCATTGCAACAGTAGTAGGGTCTTTAATAATTTAGTGGTGGTGTTGGTGGTGGAGGATGATCAACCTATCTACTAGCGCCCGCAGCACCACCGATGATTATTAGCGCATCATTAAGAATGGACCACCACGACGCACGCGCGCCACCGTGCCCATGGCCAAGCACAGATGGATGATGGATTGATTTTTCCGTTGCGCTTATATATTACTCTCCTCGTTCGGAAATACTTATCCTCTAAATGGTTGTGCCTGAACTTATTTTAGTTATAGATACATCCATTTTATTCATTTCAAAGACAAGTATTTTCGGACGGAGAAAGTACTTCCTCCGTTTCTTTTTAGTCCGCATATAAGATTTGGTCAAAATCAAGCTTTGTAGAGTTCGACTAACTTTATATTAAAAAATATAAACAATCACAATATGAAATTATTATTATTAGATGCATCATGAAACGTATTTTCATACTATATAGTTTTAGTATTGTAGATGTTTATATCTTTTTATATAAATTTGGTGAAATTTTGTGTTGTTTGACTTTGACCAATTCTTATATGCGAAGTAAAAAGATACGGAGGGAGTACATTACAGACTTACAGTACGCTCGCATGAGCACAGTTAAGCTGGATGTGTATGTCAGCAGCAGCAACGATATCGCTATATATCCGCACGCACGCAGGCTCGCCCAAAGGCGGTGGTTCTGATGGGGGGTCAACACAACACGTACTTGTACGTACATTACATACACTAGCTAGCACCATCATTGCGTTGCACCGGTGACTCGACGTGACAGTCAGTGAGTAACCACCGCCACCACTTCCTTTCTTTGGTGGTGTCATCGTGTGCGCAGGAGGACAGGCAGCCTTTTCAACTACACACTTCCATCTCCACTTGCATTCATCAACATATATGTAATATGTTGCACTTGGTGATACCCCCTTTTTCTTGTCCTTTGCGCCATGGAAGTACAGTCCACCATCATCGTCTTGCCAAGACAAATTTTCATGTGACACGTCGGCCCAGGCCTTAAGTTAGGCATGAACTATGATGGCATAAGGATACTGTTGCCCCATGAGAAAGAGAAAATAAAGACATCCACTACACATGCATATGTATCTCTATTATCCACTTCAACATTTTCAGCTTTATGCACACTTTTTCTCCCCGAAGCATCCATCTGAACCTACTTTTCCTGAATCAGATCCTATGGGGCATCACCCTAGGGCTATGCATTGGTCATGCCCTTAGTAGTGTTGCTATCCCGCGAATAAAGTATCGTATAAAAAAGAAAAAAATATTTGAAGGATGGCCATGTTGCGACGCTCTCGAGCAGCACTCATATAAAAAAGAGAAATTACTTGAAGGACGGCCATGTTGCGACGCTCTCGAGCAGCACTCGCTTGTTGTAACATCCACCATGTTGCGACGCTCTCAAGAAGCACACATTACAACACACTCGATGTTACGACGCTCTTGAGGACCACACATTGCAACACACCCCATGTCGCGACGCTCCTAGGAACCACACATTGCAATACCCTCCAGGTTACGACACTCCCGAGCACCATGCTCTCCTCCAACCGCAGCAACACGACCATTGTTGCAAATCTGCCCATTATTAGCTTAATGTCACAATAGCCCTGAACCTCTAAATCTCTGAAGAAACAAACAATCTACCAGAAGTACGGTGTTACCCCTAGAACAGGGGGGGGGGTCCGAACCCGGGTAAAGCCTCTCTCGTGTGAAATCTCATTCCTAGATCATCCACGTGCGCCTTACCTTACCAAAAAAAAATCCTAAATCATGTGTATTGCCGCGAAATCCCCGCGATAGTGCCGCTTCTCATCGATCACTAAGGAGCTGTTCGGGAAACCACCAGCTCTGCCAAATTCAAGAATTCGGGAAGTACCTGTTTCCCCGCTCCAGCGTTTTGAACTGCCGCTCCGGCTGCTCCGGGAGCGGAGTCACGGAGCGGAAGGGACTCCGAACAGGGCCTAAATCACATCACATGGCCATTGCTTGACGATAGAATGTTTCCCACTTGTCAACGGCACAATAGCTCGTCTTATTTTACTCCAATTTCTTGCCAAGTTCATGTTTTCTTTAGCTATATTTACTGTCAGTTACTCTAAATATTAGTATAACCTGTCACCCAATCAAAATATATGAGATTGTCCACAAGTCTTGGGCGACAACCTGAAAAACGTGACAGTAATTTTAACATCGCTCCTCTAGAGAGAGAGCTGACCAAAGTAGAAAACTACCATGCCCATTCTCAACAGTTTGGAAGCCATCTTTTAACTTGCGATGGTACCTCATACCGTGCTGGCGACTCTTTTTTCAACACGAATGGCGTTCGTTACAAACCTCAGCAACTACTAAAAGAAGAGTTATATACACAAGGAAAAGTCAAGGTAACTACACAGTGCAGTGCTAAGAAACTAGCTAGGGGGTAGTTGCAAACTTGGTGCGCTGAATGCTCCACGAGGAAGCATCGTATCAGAAAGGAACCACATGGACCAGAGCGATGACGTCAGCCGGGTCGGTCTTCACAGCCTCAGCCCACACTTGGGCACTCCGTCGGGATCCGGCTTGCCTGCTCCCTTCTCATACTCCTATCCGTGCTCCCACCTCATCCAACGGCTGTTTTTTTTTTCCTTTCTAATCTAATCATTTCCCCCCTGATTTTAAGGAGGTGGGGCCGGGTCTTATTTTGTTCCAATCAAATCAAGCCACGTATCCGGGAGTACGGATGGACACACGAGAGGGGAGCTGGCAAGTCTCGTCCACTCCGTCGGGGCCTCCGTGTCTCCTCCATCTTGGGCTTCTCTGGCTGGGTGCGTACTATGCCTACAGTCATCGAACAGCCACTCGTGATCACCATGATCGGATTCAGTGATCTGAGGTGCTTCAGGGACCAATATACTTGCAATCCGGGTGAGGCGACTTCTTAGTAGGTGCGCCATTCATTCATGTAATTTTTTTTTTACTGGGAGTAACAGCGGTTGCTTGAGCTTGAGGTCTCCTATGACGCAATGGAGAATTAGGGATCAATTGGTGCAGGTGGTGGTTGCGGCGCCGGGGTCCATGGCGATCTCGAGCTGGCGGAGAGGGAGGGAGGAGGGCACAGAGAAGGCGCCGACCATGCCCATGCCGCCCACCTTGTTGAGACCGTCCCAGCCGATGTGCCCGACGTGCTGCACGTCCGTGGGGTACCCGATCACGATCTCCCGCTCCTCCTCCTCTTCTTCTTCCTCGCCGTCGTACGCCGCGAAGAAGGTCTTGATCCCCTTGAGCAGCCGCTGCACCCCTGCTGCGACGATCCCTTCTTTTGCCTTCTCATCACCGCCGGTCCCTTCCTCTCGGGGTGCTCTGTCTGAGTCTCAATGAAATGGGCCAGCGATAGATGTGCTGCTGCTGTTAGTATGCGCACGTACCTGTGGCATCGATCGTGGTATGAATTATTGTGGTACGAGACTGGTCACTTACCCTGTGTGGTGATGGAGGAGGAGGAGGGGTTATCGGCCTGCTGCTGCGGCGCCGGTGCTGGTGGCTTCTTGCGGAGCGGGTCGGCGACGGCGACGGCGGACTGCGACATGCAGCCGATGGAGAAGTGGAAGCCGGCGCGGTCCTTCATCGGAGCCTTAGCTGGAGATTGATACGAAGACAAGGAGGAAGAAAGATGCAGAGTGGTGTTGCATGCGTTCTTGGGCCGGCGTGTCTTATAGCCGCGAAGCACAAAGCAAAGCAAAGGAAGGCACAAAGCAGAGGGACGGAGACAGGGCATATTCATAGGTTAATTTTGGTAGCATGGTATTGTGGAGCTCAATCAGCAACGATCTTGGTGTGGACTAGTTGCTTTTCTCTCCGGGGATTCCTTGTTTTCTGCTGGTGCCGAGGCTGGGACGTGCACATGAATCAATTGCGCTAAAATTCCTTCCAAAAGGGTAGGGGGTAGCTCGATATGGCGCCATCATTTCGCTAGTGGACGTAGCACAACGACCTCCATCTCCTTTTTCTTTTGTGCGGCTTGATCGTGCAGCCTCCTTCCTTGGCTATGCCATCTTTTAATCTTTTTCACTACATGCATATTTAGTGGGCGTGTCACTCTGTGGAAAATGTATCTTTCGGGAAGAGGAGCTCTCTTGGTGAAGAAGGTCGTCAATCAAAGTCGTAAAAGAAGATTAAACATATGTTTTCTTCTGATGGAGTGCAGATTAGCAGGGCATGCGTGGGTTCATGCTCTGGACGGACGTGCAAGTAAGATGCTTGTGCCGCAGGTGCACCGCGGCTTCTCTACCTAAGGGCATCTCCAGCCGCGCCCCCAACAGGCCCCCCAGACCACTTTTTCGGCGACGGCGCCGAAAAAACGGCCTAGTCGCGCTCTTAGGATGCCGAAAATCGCCGGTTCGGACCTTTTTCCGCCCGGCGGTCACAGGTCAAACCCGGCGCGTTGGGGAGCAGTTGGGGGCTCCGGCGCTAGGGAAAAGCACGCCTGGCCTACACCGATAGGGGAAAAGTCAAGGTTTTCTTTCCCCGACTCGCCTCGCACCCCCCGTGCCCTCGGCCACCACTAGCTATATCCCGGCGACGACCGCCGCCCTACTCCGGTAGATAGCCATTCCCCGCCGAAAAATAGCAGCGCTTCGCCGCGGCAGCCCCTCCCACAGCAGCTGGGCGTTTCCGGCCGCGGAGGCGCGGTTTAACGGCGGGTACACGCCCACCGAGCGCAAGGTGTTCGGCGTTTTGCCTATCTCGGCGATGGACTCGGATGAGGAGGAAGAGCTCGCCGCACTGCTGGAGGAGGAAGCCGCGGCCGACGTCCAGGAAGAAGAGCATCTCATGGTGCTCGCCGCCCTCGCCCAGCTGCTGGCAAGCAATGAAAAGCCGCGGCGAGGTGGCTCGGCGCCAGGGCGGGTGAAAGTAAAGACCCGGCATCGTCTCCAAGGCTACTGCATGCTCTACTCCGACTACTTCGCCGATGCTCCACTTCATGGCGAGAGAACATTTCGGCGCCGTTATCGGATGAGCCGAAAGCTCTTCCTCGGGATTGTGAATTCCATCCGGGAGTTCGACAACTACTTCAAGTGCAAGATGGATTGCACTGGCGCTGTTGGATTCACCTCCATCCAGAAGTGCACGACAGCAATGAGGATGCTTGCATATGGAGCTCCCAGTGATTCACTCGACGACTATGGGCGCATGGCCGAGTCCACCAGCATAGAGTGTTTCTACAAGTTCTGTCGGGCAGTGGTGGCAGTGTTTGGGCCGCAATACTTGAGAACACCCAATGCGGAAGACACTGCTCGGATCCTAGCCCAGAATGCAGCAAGAGGATTTTCTGGGATGCTTGGAAGCATCGACTGCATGCATTGGAAATGGAAGAACTGCCCATTTGGTTGGCAGGGGATGTACATGTTGGAAATATGCCCTAGAGGCAATAATAAAAGCATTATTATTATATTTCCTTGTTCATGATAATTGTCTTTATTCATGCTATAATTGTGTTATCCGGAAATCGTAATACATGTGTGAATAATAGACACCAACATGTCCCTAGTAAGCCTCTAGTTGACTAGCTCGTTGATCAACAGATAGTCATGGTTTCCTGACTATGGACATTGGATGTCATTGATAACGAGATCACATCATTAGGAGAATGATGTGATGGACAAGACCCAATCCTAAACATAGCATAAGATCGTATAGTTCGTTTGCTAGAGTTTTTCCAATGTCAAGTATCCTTTCCTTGGACCATGAGATCGTGTAACTCCCGGATACCGTAGGAGTGTTTTGGGTGTACCAAACGTCACAACATAACTGGGTGACAATAAAGGTATACTGCGGGTATCTCAGAAAGTGTCTGTTGGGTTGACACGGATCAAGACTGGGATTTGTCACTCCGTATGATGGAGAGGTATCACTGGGCCCACTCGGTAATGCATCATCATTATGAGCTCAAAGTGACCAAGTGTCTGGTCACGGGATCATGCATTACGGTACGAGTAAAGTGACTTGCCGGTAACGAGATTGAACAAGGTATTGGGATACCGACGATCGAATCTCGGGCAAGTAACATACCGATTGACAAAGGGAATTGTATACGGGGTTGCTTGAATCCTCGACATCATGGTTCATCCGATGAGATCATCGAGGAGCATGTGGGAGCCAACATGGGTATCCAGATCCCGCTGTTGGTTATTGACCGGAGAGCAATCTCGGTCATGTCTACATGTCTCCCGAACCCGTAGGGTCTACACACTTAAGGTTCGGTGTCGCTAGGGTTGTAGGGATATGTATATGCAGTAACCTGAATGTTGTTCGGAGTCCCGGATGAGATCCCGGACGTCACGAGGAGTTCCGGAATGGTTCGGAGGTAAAGAATTATATATAGGAAGTGCTATTTCGGCCATCGGGACAAGTTTCGGGGTCACCGTGTAACGCCCTCGATGCGGCTGTATCTCCCACGTGTCGAAGCACGACTTAGAGGCATAACCACATTGAAAGCAATGTCGCAAGTGAGGTAATCTTCACACAACCCATGTAATACATAAGGGAAAGAGATACATAGTTAGCTTACAATCGCCACTTCACACAATACATGAATAAAGCATTACAACATCCAAATACAATCAAGGTCCGACTACGGAACCAAAATAAAAGAAGAACCCCAAGTGCGACAAAGGTCCCCGATCGACCCCAACTGGGCTCCACTACTGATCAACTAGAACGAAACAACACAAAGGACAAGATCTTCAACGAGCTCCTCCTTGAGCTTGGTTGCGTCACCTGCTCGGTAACATCGGCACCTGCAAACTGGTTTTGGAAGTATCTGTGAGTCACAGGGACTCAGCAATCTCGCACCCTCGCGATCAAGATTATTTAAGCTTATGGGTAAGGTAAAAGGTATGAGGTGGAGTTGCAGCAAGCGACTAGCATATATGGTGGCTAATATACGCAAATGAGAGCGAGAAGAGAAGGCAAAGCATGGTCGATAAAAGTATGATCAAGAAGTGATCCTAAAACAACCTACGTCAAGCATAACTCCAACACCGTGTTCACTTCCCGGACTCCGCCGGAAACAGACCATCACGGTTACACACGCGGTTGATTCATTTTAATTAAGGTCAACTTCAGGTTTTCTACAACCGGACGTTAACAAATTCCCATCTGCCCATAACCGCGGGCACGGCTTTCGAAAGTTCAAATCCCTGCAGGGGTGTCCCAACTTAGCCCATCACAAGCTCTCACGGTCAACGAAGGAATAGACCTCCTCCCGAGACATTCCGACCAAACTCGGTATCCCGGTACAACAAGACATTTCGACAGGGTAAAACTAAACCAGCAACACCGCCCGAATGTGCCGACAAATCCCGATAGGAGCTGCACATATCTCTTTCTCAGGGCACACTCAGATTGTCCAAATTTCCGGTAGGCCAGCCCAGAGTTGCCCCTGGTGGCCACCGGCGGCTGACAGTTTGGACCAACACTCAGAGGAGCACTGGCCCGGGGGGGTTAAAATAATGATGACCCTTGAGTCTGCAGAACCCAAGGGAAAGAAAAGGCTAGGTGGAAAATGGTAAAACCAATGTTGGGCATTGCTGGAAGAGCTTTACTTAAAACGAACTGTCAAGGGGTTCCCATAATAGCCCAACCGCGTAAGGAACGCAAAATCCGGGAACATAACACCGATATGACGGAAACTAGGGCGGCAAGAGTGGAACAAAACACCAGGCATAAGGCCGAGCCTTCCACCCTTTACCAAGTATATAGATGCATTAATTAAATAAGATATATAGTGATATCCCAACAAGTAAACATGTTCCAATAAGGAACGGTATCTCCATGTTCCAACAAGGAACAAACTTCAATCTTCACCTGCAACTAACAACGCTATAAGAGGGGCTGAGCAAAGCGGTAACATAGCCAAACAATGGTTTGCTAGGACAAGGTGGGTTAGAGGCTTGGTTCAACAATATGGGAGGCATGATAAGCAAATGGAAGGTATCGCAGCATGGGCATAGCAAAAGAGCGCGCAACTAGCAAGCAAAGATAGAAGTGATTTCGAGGGTGTGATCATCTTGCCTGAAATCCCGCAAGGAAGAAGAACGAGTCCATGAAGAAGACAAACGGACGTAGTCGAACGGATCCTCACAAACACGACGTTGTCGGAAACAACCCGAAAAAGCACACCGGAAAGAAGCAAACAACATAGTAAACAACCACCACATAGACATGGCATGATGCACAAACAAGTATGATGCATGTCCGGTTTAATGAAGCATGGCATGGCAAAGTGCACAAGCAATCCTACAAATTAAGTGGAGCTCAATATGCAACGAGTTGCATATTGACGAAACACCACATCACTTATTTAGTTCACTCTCGGTTAGGTACCCTACAATATTAAATGTTGGTTAACATGGCAAGAGGTGGAGCATAACAAAACTATATCATCTAAACAATTTAAAGGGGGCCGGATATAACAAATAACAAATCCGGTAAGTCCCCATATGCATAAGCAAATTAAAGCAACAACAAATTTTAACCATCTTAAAGTTGTTAACATGATGCGGATGACATGTTCAAGTTTATGCAATATTTATGAAAACGTTGACATGATAAGATATGAGGCATTTGTCATCGTGGAGAAAACTAAAGGGGTGCCACGGCAATGACAACTGAAATGGTGCCACGGCAACATTCCGGTTCCGGTAACTCGATTGAGATACCGATGCAAAGGAGAAGTGTGCGGGTGCATGCAAAAGATGGTGGGGCGCTCCCGGATTCCGG